GTGGCTACTAATTAAGGAAGGGAACTTCACAAGATCTTCCTTGATATGTGACTTTGGGCTTGTTAGAAAGGCACAGACTGTTCTCTTTCACTAGGACATTTCCTTCCAATTGTGAACTTTCTACTAAGTCAACTGTCTATAGGACACAATAAAACCTGTCACCCCAGCCACTGGTAGAATAATATACAGTAGGAAAGAGTAAATACAAGAAATGAAAACCTTAGAGAGCAGATCCAGGCTTGTGTATTGGGAAGCGCAAATGAACTTTATGAAGCACATTAGGAGAAACAAGCATGTAGGGACTCACCTCGTCAGTCTTAAGCGATTTTCTGAACTGGACATCTGACTTTCACAAGGGACACAATGGCTGCCAAGAGTGTATGAACAGATTCAGATCCAAATGGTGGCTACAAGTGACTGTCCAAGGCCTTCTCCTTTACTCCTAACCCCTAACACTTCAAGTTCAATTAAACCATTAGGGTCACACTTTCAGACTTAAACTCATGCTATACAGATTATATGAATTATTAATATAGAGCAAAAGACTATATGTAGCTACTAACACAGTTTTAACTTTTCTTCAACATACTCTTATACAGTATTGCTAGGAGAATAATTTGGTGAAACCTTCTGCAAGACAGTTTGGCCTGATATATCCCTTCTCTTAAAAACATTTATAAAGTTACTAAGTATACAAAGAAATAATCATAAATGGGGAAGCTATGGACAGATAAGGATGTTCTTTGAAGGATGGAAAGTTTATATGTAACAGTAATCCAGAAATAGAAAAATGTACAGTAGGGGACTAAAATTTTGTGCTTACCCCATTTTAGGTATTGCTTTTAGCATTTTACATTTGCTGATACTTTTAATCTTCATAACAACCTTATGAAGCAGGCGCCATTACTTTTTCCTTTTTGATAAACTGAGACACAGAAAGGCAATTGCCCACGTGCTGGAGCCAAGATTTGAATTCATATAATTCTACTCTGGAACCAGGTCACTAAGGTATTACATAATACTTTCTGACAGAGTCACACCTCTAATATTATGTAGTTAAGTTTGTTTGTGTCTGTGATAATGTGGAAAAATACTCATGTTCTCAGGTGTAATTAGAAAAAGAAATATGAATACAAATATGTAAAGAGGACAAAAGAATATAAAAACCTTCTATGCTTAGAAAATGAGATTCAAAGGTTTAGATACCAATATGGTAGTGATGATTTTTGGTTGGTGGAACTATAATTTTTCCCAGTTATTTTCTATTTTTTTGAAGTAGGCCTGTGTTGCTTCTAGATAGTAAAAACTGTCATGTATTCCTTTTAAAGGTCTCACTGTGTTTCCTACTTCCACCCATTTTCCCTCTACATCCCTCTTCTTTGCTTCACTTCTCATTTCCACCACAAACTTTTTGCTCCCAGGCTTTATTTTTCCTACCTTTTAGTTCTTTATTTTTTATTTTTAAGTCAGAGTCTCACTCTGTTGCCCAAGCTGAAGTGCAGTGGCACAATCACGGCCACTGCAGCCTCAACCAGTTCCAAGTAGCTGGAACTACAAGAGCGTGCTACCATGCCCGGCTAATTTTTTGATTTATTGTAGAGGCGGGGTCTCATCAAGTTGCCCAGGCTGGTCTCAAACCCCTGAGCTCAGGCAATCCACTTGCCTCGGTCTCCCAAAGTGCTGGGATTACAGGCTTGAGCCACCACGCCCGGCCCCCTAACTTTTATTTCTTATCCTTTTTGCTCTTTCCTGTTTCCTTCCTTCTTCCTACTTCCTCTATAGCTCCTTCCTCTCTCCCCAATCCCACAAGGCTCATGAGCAGGAAAAAATCCCTAGCCCTAACTGCCTGATGGCTCCTTTCTCCTGATCTCACCCAAGGGGCATGGCATGTGTGAGCGGTGAGGAGCACTGAAGAGTGCATCATCTTCTGAAAAAAATAATCATTCTTAGCATGGTATTTTAGTGTTTAAAAATGGCTCCTAAAATTGTTTAAATAAACCAGGTGTGGTGACTCATCCCAACACTTAGAGGCTGAGGTCGGAGGACTACTTGGGGCCAGAAGTTCGAGACAAGTCTGGGCAAAATAGCAAGTCACTATCTCTATTAAAATAAAAAAAAATTAGCCAGATGTGGTGGCACATGCCCTTAGTCGCAGTCACACAGGAGGCTGAGGTGAAAGGATCACTTGAGTCTAGGAGGTTGAGACAATGAACTATGATCACTCTGCACTCCAGACTGGATGACAGAGTAAGACCTCCATCTTTAAAAAAAAAAAAAAAAATATATATATATATATATATATGTTATATAAATAATTATTTGACTTTCAAATTTGAGGCCACCTGGTCAGCCACTGATTCTAGACCCCACTAGCTCTCCAGCATTCCGTGCCTCCTGCCTCCTTCTCGGCCCTCCTGTTAGAGTGTGACAAGCTCTTGGTACCTGTCCTGACAGTGCTGTCTGAGGGCCCTTTTCCGACCACTCTTCCTTCTTTCAGATCTGCAGTTCTTTTGCAAGCATGATGCTTCTTCAGACAATGGGATATCCTTGTGCTCCCATGAGGATCCATCTGACTGACTGGTGGACTCATCCAAGACCACTTCCGTGGTCACAGCTGATTTTCATGAGAGTAGAGGCAGCTGTACTGATGCTTTCAAGAGTGGAGGCAAGAGCCCCCTCTGCTCTTCCAGGTCACCTATCAGCCCACTGAGATTCACTCAAGAGTGTCTGCCAACTAGGCTAGTGAGGAAGACTGCCTGGGCCAGAATCTGTCTAGATGATTCTTCCCTGAATTCCAGGCTCTTATAACAGATTCACTTACAGATTAGGAAAGATTTAAAAGTCATCTAAACCTTTATTCCTACTTAGAATTTTTGAGGGGCCAGTTTTCTCCTTATATCTCAGATCCTGCTAGTGAGGAACACTGGTAACTTTAAAAAATATCAGGCAGTTCCTTTTTCTTTTTTTTTTCTTTTTTTGAGTTGGAGTCTCACTCAGTCACCCAGACTGGAGTGCAGTGGCCGCTCCCAGCCACCGCAGCCTCGACCTCCTGGGCTCCAGTGATCCTTCTGCCTCAGCCTTCCAAGTAGCTGGAACTACAGGCGCTCGCTACCACGCCTGGCTGATTTTTTTGATTTATTGTAGAAATGAGGTCTCGCCTGCCCAGGCGGGTCTTGAACCTGCGGGCTCAGGCAATCCACTCACCTCAGCCTCCCAAGGCACAGGATTACAGGCTGAGCCATCGAGCCCAGCGGCAGTTCCTTTTTCAAAATGCATTCGCCTCACTCTGTCTGTTCATTATTTCATGCCTGTTTTATTGCTGGAGACTCCCACTTGGCTTACCTCACCAGAGAGCCTCTCCCCTTCATTGCTTCCTGAAGGGTGGCTTCATTCAGGTGCTTCTTGAATTAAAATACCTTCAAGGTACCTTGTTTCAGGACCTATCAAACTCAAATCCTAAATTTAGCTTCCCCCCAAAAATGAAAAACAAAACACCTTATTTTTCTGACTGTATAAGTTATATCTGCACTTTGGAAGGCCAAGGTGAGAGAATTGCCTGAGCCCACAGGTTTGAGACCAGCCTGGGCAACTTGGTGAGACCTCATCTCTACAATAAAAAAATCAAAAAATTGGTCAGGCATGGTGGCACGCACCTATAGTTTGGTTACTTGGAAGGCTGAGGCAGAAGGATCGCTTGAGCCCAGGAGGCCGACGCTGGGGTGGCCATGAGCATGTCACTGCCCTCAGCCTGGACTGAAACTCCAACTCAAAAAAAAAAAAAGTTATATGTGTTCTTTGCAAACAATGAAACAAAATCAAGCAATATAGAAAGGTGTAAACAAGAAAGTGGCAATCCTTTTTAATCTCACCACCCATGGGTAAACTTGGTTATTGATCAGTTGGGGTTTTAGAGCTTTCAGAGTTTCAGGTGACCGACCATATTTGCCATGGCTCCTCGTACCTCTGCTCAGGCCTGGGTTCTAGAGCCCCACAAGGTTCTCCTTCCTCCTGCTCCACCTTCTCTGTCTTTGCTGTGGTATTCAGTCTTCTGGAATTGCCCCTGCCTTTCCTTCCATCCATCCAACTCACTCCTAATTTTGAAAATCCAGTTTACGTCCCACCTGTTGCATGAAGCTTTTCATCTAAATCGATGTTCAAATGTGTGCTCTGTGCCATGCAATTCGATCATGCAACTGTCTCCTTCTGATGCCACTTCCTCTTCCCACCTAGATCACAGACTGCCAGGGAACTGGGATCGTGTATTTTGCCTTTTAAAGCCTAGTGACACGGTGGGCAAGCTACACATCTGACTAATAAATACAAATGAATGCATAAATGGTTAATTGAGGGGCTCCCTTTTAGTTTAGTGAATATTCTTACTCAAACCTTTAGACTGAATCAAACTGTTAGTAGGTTCTAGGCCTATAGACCGGTGATACTTTTCACGGACATTCTGAAATACTTTAAAATCTCTCCCATATAGTACCACACTGAATCCCAGAGTGCCTATGAGTACTGGTGCCAATTAAGAAAGGGATTTCCCCTGACAGTCCCTTGACTCTGGCACCAAGTTGTTGAGTTGCTGGTGCATTATTTACTTCCTGCTCACTAAACTGTCTCCCCTCCCATAATCACCCCATCAAGTTTACACAATTCATGGTGCTGAAAGTGATGATACTGCCATAAATCAGTGCTCAAATTGCCTACCGTTGCTAAAGTGCCGGGGTGATGAATGTCCTTTTGCACTTTCTTGGTGCAGACTATTTTGATTGATTTAATAAAGGTTCCGATTCAGTCAGGGATTATGGAAGGTTCCATGGCATGGAGGAACACATCCAAGGGCTCCAAGCAAGAGCACATGTGAAAAAGAAACAGCAGCTGGCAGTGACTGGGAGGGAGGCAGCCTTGTGGCCCATGGTCATTTCCTGTTTTCAGACCAAAAGGTATTTGTGTGGACTTTGTAAATTTCTAACCAATGAGGGGTGCAGATGCATGCTTACCTCTCATCACACTTAATCAGAATCACGCTGTCTGTTCCAATCCCTAAGGCTGCAGCTCCCTTCTTGAGAGAAAAATGACTCTGTGAAAAAGAAAAAGCATATTTGCAATTAGTTTCATATAAAGACAAGTTTCATTCCCTTGGCTTTCTCTCTCTCTCTTTTTTTTTTTTCGTCTTTTAGTTCTAGTCTGTACCTCCAAAACCTGGGCTCCCGAGAAAAGATGGCATCTTTCACTTGTGCTTTTTAAAAAAATTTGTGGTGAAGCACACATAACTTAAGTACCATCCTAACCATTTTTAGGTGTACAATTAAGTGGCCTTAAGTACATCCACTGCAGTGGGAAACCACTACCTCCATCCATTTCCAGAACTCTTTTCATTTTGCAAAACTAAAACTCTATAGCCTTTCAACAACTCTCTCATTCCTCCCTCTTGCCAACCTTAGGCAACCACCATTCTACTTTCTGCCTCTGTGAATTTGACTACTCTAGGCATCTCATATAAGTGGAATCATACAGTATTTGACTTTTATAACTGGTGTACTTCAGTTAGTGTAATGTCTCAAGGTTGTAGCATGTGTCAGAATTTCCTTCCTTTTTAAGGCTGAATAGTATTCCATTATACTTAGACACCATGTTTTATGTAACCCTTCATTCATCTATGGACAATTGTGTTCCTTCCATCTTTTTTTTTTTTTTTGAGTTGGAGTCTCACTCTGTCACCCAGACTGGAGGGCAGTGGCCGCTCCTGGCCACTGCAGCCTCGACCTGCTGGGCTCCGGCGATCCTTCTGCCTCAGCCTGCCAAGTAGCTGGAACTACAGGCGCACGCTACCATACCCGGCTAATTTTTTGATTTGTTGTAGAGATGAGGTCTTGCCAAGTTGCCGAGGTGGGTCTCGAACCCACGGGCTCAGGCAATCCACTCACCTCAGCCTCCCAAAGGCGCAGGATTACAGGCTGAGCCACCAAGCCCGGCTTGTTCCTTCCATCTTTTGGCTATTGTAAATAATGTGGCTATGAAACATGGGTGTACAACTATGTCTTCAAGACTGACTCTGCTTTAAATTGTTTTGGGTGAATACCTAGATCTGGAATTGCTGGATCATATTGTACTACCCCATTTAATTTTTTGAGGAAATGCCACATTGTTTTCCATAGTGGCTATACCATTTGACATTCCTACAGGCAGTGCACAAGGGCTCCAGTTTCTCCACATCCTTACTAACAATTGTTTTCTATTTTTTCATAACAGTCATCCTCATGTATGTGAAATAGCAACTCATTGAGGTTTTGATTTGCATTTTGCATTCCCCTAATGGTTAGTGATGTTGAGCATCTCTTCATGTGCTTATTGGCCATATGTACATCGTCTTTGGAGAAACGTCTATTCAAGTCCTTTGCCCATTTTGAATGGGGTTGTTTATTTTTTATTATTGTTAATTCACTTGGGCTTTTTGACAGAAGATAACAAGATGTTGGAAATTTTAGGACTTGAAACCCTGACACACAGTAACACCAAGCCAATATATATGAGGCATAAGAACCCATCAGCCGCTGCCAGCAGCTATGTATTATATGGCTCCCAGACTTATGTTTTGCTACCAAGTTACCTCAGCTTCTCCCAAGTTGTGTGCACTCAAGTAAGGGGAGAAATTGGCCCTGAATCTAGCACTCTCCATCCCAGAGTTGTTGGAGGGGCTGTTTGTTGTGCAGTCAACTGCCCAGCCTGGGCAGGCTCAAAAAAAGGGCATCATTTACTGGCTGGGGCAGAACAACTTGTCTGTATGAGAACAGGCCACACTGACAAACTACTGCTTAGTCTTTGTGCTTTTGGTTATTGATTCCGGGTGGGATTGTGTATCTCAATGATGGTAATCACTGTGCCATTTGAAGAGCTGAGAAAGGCTAACCTCAGCCCAGCTGTACTGCATCTCCCCATTAGCCTCTTACTATTAACTACAGATCATTAAGCTGTCCAAAAGGAGAGTGGCTTCCTGAATTACATCTCCAAAGGGTTGCTGACTGGAATTTTAAGTTATGGTCCCAAAAAGGGTCCTCTCTCTTTGAATACCCACTTTGGACTCATCTCAATTTTTAAATATGCAGAACAGAAACTCTCAACACTGTATTTCTAGGGGGTATGTCTAATAAACAGGAAGAAATCCCTGTTTGCAATAGCAGCAAATAATGTTAACCAATAAAGAAGACATCAAACAGAGGAGTTTTAAAAAGCCCAGTGTAGCTAGAAGTAATGAGAAAGGGCCATTATCCTCATTTTATAACCCCAGAATGACAAAGTGGACAATCGTTACCAAGATACCTGGAAACTAGAGGGGAAAGGTGAATTGGGTCAGGGTTAGTGAAGATGCATGACTATTCCACACACACACACACACACACACACACACACACACACTCACATGCACACACACAAAGTTATCTCGCGTATTTAGCAGAGCCTGGGTGACCCTGAAGAGAAGCAGCTTAGAGGAAAACAGCACCGAGTCTCTTATAGCCAGGAGGGCATCGAACAGTGGAGCCAGCTGTCCCCTCTGAGCAAGCACAAGTCACTCAAATTATGCCCCTCCGTGAATGAGCTCTTAAGCACGAAACTGCAAAATGGCAAATTGGGGATAAGTAAGAGATCTGGTGCACCTGGTCAATGGGAGGACGTATTCTTGTCTGATCTTTAATGAGAAAGAATAGGGATTCTTAAATGAGGAGCAATTACCCAGGATAATTGATCACTGTACTAAGTGCTACGGATTTAAAGAAAAACACATGCCCAAATAGAAAGCTTAAAGATGGGGAACAAAGGTGATATGAGGCATGAAAAAGGAAATTAGGTAGCAAACATGAAAGTTGTTTATATTTTCAGGAAAGGGAGCAGAGAAATAGCTAAACGTTATCCCCAAAAAGCAAGGGACCCATGGAGAGGAAGGAACTTGAGAGGGAAAAAAGGCTACTTAATGAGGGAGAAAGAGTGAAGACAGCCTAAATGGCATGTCTGTCTATACTGGTAAGACAACATGGGGAGAATCATTTTTAATCCTTGGCACCACATTTAACGAAGCCACTTGTTGGTAAACCAGGAAACAGCATCCAAAGAACAACCTTCTGGATGCTTAGGAGCATGGGAAGCCGGAGTCTGGAGGGCAGGGGAAGCTTGACTATGAGCAAAGGGCATTAGGGACATGTGGTGTGGGTGGCCTTCGTATGTGAAGGGATGTGCCAAGGCTGGGATGGGGAATAGCTTGCTTAGGGTGGCTTTGGAAGGCAAAATTCTAAACAAAAATTAGAAGCTATAAGGATTCAAATTTGTCCCTGAATACACAAGACTCGTAATAATCAGCTGTTCATCAATAGAATGGCTGGGAAATGAGCTAATGAACACACCCTTCTCCCTGCCCCTGATTTAGAAAAAATAACAATAGACCTTTGATAGAATCTAGTGCTTATTTAGGATTAAATCATATTTCTATTTAAGGATAATAGACATTAAAACCCATATAATTTTTATTTTATGCTAAATTAAAATTTCAACATTGATAGAAGAGTAATTTCTCTATTTTTAAATATATTGTAATCTAGACACTAGTTACACAATTCAGCTTACTTTTAAAAGGGCTCAAATAAATACAGGATTTTACAAGTTATAAAATACTTGTAATTTTAAAAATAGGCAGGCTTTCTGGGTTTAAGTGGGATGAGATTATCCAGCCTGGAAGAGAGGTACCATCCTGCCATTCTAACTAACCCCAGCCTGGAGGGTGCGGCATGGGCTCCTTCACTCTTTAATGGGAACATTAAATCTCACCTCCCTTTAGGGATGATGGGAGAGTTAGGAGAGTGGTAGAAAGCTCTGAGACAAACAAGGGCAGAGTCTTGGCATGCCAGTTTCTCTTCCTCTACTGGAATTGATAAAAGAAGTTTAGAAAGCTCCATTATTAAGCCATTGTTAGTTACATCCAAGTATTTAACTGAGACTCAGATTCAACTGCCTAGTGGATCACAGGCTTTCAGGGAGAAGTTTCTGCTAGGCTTGGAGGACACACATTATTGAGACAGTCTTTAGTCCGCGGGTTCGAGACCCGCCTGGGCAGCGAGACCTCATCTCTACAATAAATCAAAAAATCAGCCAGGCGTGGTAGCGCATGCCTGTAATTCCGGCTACTTGGAAGGCTGAGGCGGAAGGATTGCTGGAGCCCAGCAGGGCAAGGTTGCGGTGGCCGGGAGCGGCCACTGCACTCCAGTCTGGGCGACAGAGTGAGAACTCCAACTCAACAACAACAACAACAAAAAGACAGTCTTCAATATCCAGCTACCTTCCCTAGCTCTCTCTACTTGGTGGTACTGGCCTTTCTGGTCTTCTGTGAGCTTGCTAAATTGGTTCTTGCTTCTAGGTTCTCTTTTCCTGGAGAACCCTTCCTATAAGTATTTACATGGCTCCTTTTCTCATTTGATGTAAGTCTTTGCTCACATATTGTTTCCCCAGATCTCTTATGACCATTCTTTAAAATAGCCCACAATACCCTACTCTTTTGTTAACACATGACATTATATAGTAAATACTTATTAGTTCATTGACTGTCCCTTGCAGGAGGGATCCCCAACCCCCAGGCTGTGGATTGGTTCTGGTCCCTGGCCTGTTAGGATCTGGCTGTACAGCAGGAAGTGACCAGCGGGTCAGTGGAGCTCCACCTCCTGTTGGATCAGAAGAGGCATCAGATTCTCACAGGAGTGTGAACCCTACTGTGAACTGCGTATGCGAGAGATCCAGGCTGCTAGCTCCTTATGAGAATCTAATGCCTGATGGTACCCACCTCCCCCAGTCTGCAGAAAAACTGTCTTCCATGAAACTGGTCCTTGATGCCAAAAAGGCTGGGGACTGCAGCCTTATAAGAACATAGGAGGCTGCAAGAGGGCAAAGGCTTTGTTATAGTATGTAGGTGATGAATATTTGTTGTACTTGTTGACCAACTATCACCTAAATCTCTGGTTAAAATTCCCAGTGTTGAGGTGTGGCTTTGGTGACTGGAGCCAGACCATCGTGGGCTCAGTGGACCCCAATGCCTCTAAT